GGCGGCGGTGGAGGTGGTGGAGGCATCGGCGGAGGTGGTGGAGGCAGCGGCAGCGGTGGTGGAGGCAGCGGCAGCGGTGGTGGAGGTGGCGGCGGTGGTGGTACTGGTCGAGGTGCAGCCGCGCAGCGTGGAGGCTTTGGTGGTAGCCAGCGCCAGCAGCAGCCGCGTTCCCGTGAGACCCCGTCGGCCGAGCAGCTTCATGAGTGGTACGCTGGGCGTGGGAGGTCTGCGAGTGCTGGTCCCTGCACTTACGTTCTTCGCACCGGCAGTCGTCGTGGGGAGACGTGCGGGCTGCCACACACTGCGCAGCGCTGCTTCGGTCGCTTGACTGACGCCTGGCATGCCCAGTTTCCTGACGCTGTTGAGCTCCCTCGCTGGCATGATTTGCTTAGGCAGAATGTGGCTATCTTTGATCTTGATTTCGATGCTATCCTTGCTGCCATGTATGCTTTGTCTGATAGTGCTGAGGGTGACTGTTACCTGAGTGTCCCGCCCAACCCGGGCATTGAGGCTGCTGCTCTAGGTGCTAGTGCGTCTGCTGCTCCAGGTACTGGTGAGTCTGCTGCTCCAGGTGCTGGTGAGTCTGCTCTCTCTGGTACTGCACCTACTGAGGCCTTGCACACTTTCACACTTGACTCTGGTGCTTCGCGCTCTTTCTTTAGAGTCAACACCACACTCACGCCGCTCAGTCGGCCTGTCGCAGTCTCCCTGGGTGACCCCTCTGGGGGCCCAGTCCTTGCGCACTCTTCCACGGTTCTACCGTGTCCTGCGGCCTCGTCCGGCTTGCTGTCGGGACTCCACCTCCCCTCGTTCTCTACGAACCTGGTGAGTGGAGCTGACCTCCAGGACGCGTGGGTTGACCAATTCGCCCCTAGAAGTCAGCGTGTGACCCACTGCACTTGCTCTCAGACATGCCGCCACCTGGCCACGTTCACCCGTCGGCCAGGGTCGAGTCTGTACACACTGACTACTGCGTCTCCTTCAGTCTCTGCGTCTGGTCAGGTAGCTGCGTCTAGTCAGGTGTTTGCTGTCGCGTCCAGGTCTAGTCCTGCGTCCGCCCCTTGCTCGTGTCGTCTTCTGTCGCACGAGACTCTTCTTTGGCACCACCACCTTGGTCACCCCTCCCTGCCTCATCTTCGAGGTATGGCCTCCCGTACCCTTGTCTCGGGTCTACCCCGGTCCCTCCCTCCCCTTCCTCCGGGGCCTGCCCCTACATGTGTTCCTTCTGTCGAGGGTCGGCAGCGCGCTGCTCCTCACTCCTCCACGTTCCCTCTGACAAAGGCTCCTCTGCAGACTCTTCACATGGACGTGTGGGGCCCAGCCCGCGTCCGTGGACAAGGTCACGAGCGTTACTTCCTGCTGGTCGTTGACGACTATGCGCGTTACGCCACAGTCTTCCCCTTGCGCAGCAAGGGTGAGGTCCCAGAGGTGTTGATCGACTGGATCCGCGGTGCTCGTCGCCAGCTCAGTGAGCCTTTCGGCTCGGACCTTCCTGTTCCGCGTCTGCACTCCGACAGAGGTGGTGAGTTTTCCTCCGACCTCCTGAGGGCCTTCTGTCGTGCGGAGGGCATCCGCCAGACGTTCACGCTTCCGACCTCCCCACAGCAAAATGGGATTGCTGAGCGCCGCATTGGCATGGTCATGGACGTCGCTCGTACGTCCATGATCCATGCGGCTGCTCCCCATTTTCTGTGGCCGTTCGCGGTTCAGTACGCTGCGGATCAGATCAACCTTCAGCCTCGTGTCTCCTTGCCGGAGACCACACCTACTCTGCGGTTGACGGGGAAGGTTGGTGATGCGTCCGCGTTCCGTGTCTGGGGATCTCGAGCTTTTGTCCAAGATACTTCAGCGGACAAGCTGTCCTCCCGTGCCGTTCCCTGCGTCTTCCTTGGCTTCCCCCCTGACGCACCCGGGTGGTAGTTCTACCACCCCACCTCGCGTCGTGTTCTGTCCTCTCAGGACGTCACGTTTGACAAGTCGGTGTCTTACTACCGTCTCTTTCCCTACCGCGCTGCCTCTCTCCCCCCCCCGCCACTCTTCCTAGCACCAGGTACTCCTCCGGTAGACCCCCTCCCCCCTCAGGGTCCTGCCCCCTCAGGTGTGTCTCAGGTAGACCCTGCCGAGCCGGTCGAGGTAGCTGTCGACTCAGGTGCTGCTAGGGGTGCTGAGCCTGCGGGTGCGGGGACTAGGGGTGCGGAGCCTGGGGGTGCTGAGCCTGAGCGTGTGGAGTCTGGGGGTGCTGAGCCTGCGGGTGCGGAGCCTGGGGGTGGTGAGCCTGAGCGTGTGGAGTCTGGGGGTTCTGAGCCTGAGCGTGTGGAGTCTGGGGGTGCTGAGCCTGGGGGTACTGCGTCTTGGGGTGCTGAGCCTGCGTGTGCTGAGTCAGGAGGTTCTCTGGGTGTCCCGTTGCGGCGGGAGCCCCTCTCTCCGCAGCGGCTTCGTGAGTGGTACGCTCGACGCTGTCGCCGTGCTACTAGTGCCCGGGCTAGGGGCGGCTAGTGGGGCAGCGCAATGGTGGGCCCAAGGAAAAAAACGGTCCTAGCGAAGGATGTGCTCTGAAACCATGTCAGAAGAATGAACGAGAATGAATGAACTATGAAAGAGTTGGGTACAAGTACTAGCCCTAATTGGGTTGTACCCCTTATGGGCTACCCCACTATAGCCTACACAAATGTAAGCACTATAACATTCTGACAATGATACCATGCTTGTAGCGAGGCACTATGAACATGCCCCTGCCCTGACAAAGCGCGTTCTTGAAGAATCAAAGTCATCCAAATGCAGACTAGCCTCGAGAAACCACGACACCAGTGAGCACCTCGTGTCAAAAGTTCTTGCGCGAGGGGCGGAAATGACCCGATCGTCTGCAGGTGGTGTCGAAAGCTGACTTGTGGGTACACACAAACTTGGATCCTCCATTGGTTTGAAATTCGGAAGGCGCCACATCTCACCAACGCCACGGCCTGCTCCCTTGGAAACTCCACGGCACATCCCACAAATAGCTGTGCGGTATGAACAAACTAAGTAGCGCTTCAATGGCTACTTGCTACCGCTAGCTCATTAGTGCTCCCATTCGCCCTTCGCTCCCTCCCGTCGAACAGGCATTGTTGGATGGAGTTGTCAGGTTCGTGAATCCTTAAAGGCCAAACACCTAGAGTTAAATAGTTGGTGCCTCAGTTCAGCGGATGCATCTCAAAGCAAAATCTTTTCCCAGCCTCAAATGCTGGCACGATAGTTAGGCTGTAGAATCTTAATGTCGGCTAGGGTAATGCAGCTAATATTTTATGGAAGCGAGTAGAAAGAGTTGTATTCCTGTCATAAATATTTTACTGGACTCTCTCTACTATTCCGTCCTTATTTCCTTCGCCACGCGAATCCATTTTTCCCGTCGTCGTCACGCTTCTACCACGCCGAATCTTTTCCCAATCTCTCGTGTTCTTATCTTCACCATTCGTATGCTGAAACCGGCTACATAGTTTTCATCTTCGCCCTTCTACCCTTTCCACTCTCATTCCTTTTCTCCTATTGGTTCCTCGCAAAAAATATGTCATTAGTAGTCCCACTCCCACTTCTTTGCACATTGTGCTTTGTCCTGTTAGTGAAACTCCCGTCCGTTCTTCTTGTCACTGTTGTTCTCCGTACTTCACTACCGTAAGCCCCCGGATAGAAGCCCAGGCCTCGGATAAGCGCCGGCGCTTATAAAAGGATGACGGCGCTTATATCCGGTCCTCGATTATAAGCCCACCCCCTAAAAAAAGATGATTTATTATAAGCGCATGTTGTTTTTTCATTTGAAGACCTGACGAAATACAGAAACGAATTTCACATTATCAGGGAAACGAACTACAAACTCGATTTCCCACACTCTGATCTCAACTTTTGCGCGTCTAGTCAGCATGTGCTGTCATTCTGTCAGTTTGAGTTGGCAGGGAATCACTCCCTGCCAAGTTGCGCGAGAATCAGATTCGCGACCTCATATGTTTTCGACTCGATTACAATCGGCAGAACGAGATCTACAGTTTGGTGTAAAACAGATAGAAACTCTTTTTGCCATTTTATAAACGCCGGCGCTTATAAAATTCCTCGATTATAAGCGCACCCCCTAAAAAACATTGTTTTTTTATACCCCCAGGGGCGCTTCTATCCGGGGGCTTACGGTACCTTTCCATCTTTTCTCTCTGTAGCGGGAGACGACGTTCGTGTGATTTTCTCATTCTCGTCGTTATTCTCCCCTTTTTTGCATCCCATCATTCACCCTTCAGCCACCACCAGGCCCTCAGATTGGTTTTGGGCTAGTCTAAAAATTCAGAGTTGGTACATGACTTAACTCTGAAAATCAGAGTTTTTCCTGCAGAAATATCACTGCACACTAGAAAAAATCGCATTTTTCCTGGTTTTTCTCAAAAAAAGGCTGAATTTTCAGAGTTCACTTCGAAAAAAGGCTGAAATATCAGAGTTTTTTAGGCAAATCAGAGAAATTTCTCTGACTTCTGGGGGCCTGGCCACCACTTGCCATGATGTGGTCGACATGTGTCCAAATTCGTTCACAATTCTTGCAGCTATTCCTGATTAGGAATTGAAGGTAACATAAATCATTGACCTTTTCCATGTGTACATGCTTTAATCGACAAACATGAAGAGGTTTAGGGTTTAGGGTTTAGGGTACCTCTATCGTGCTCGTCATCTCCTCTCTCCGCATCGCATCCGCACGAGCCGTGTACCTCTATGGGCCGGCCAGTGATGAGGAGTCCAGCTGCCCGGGGCTCTCCTATCAGCTGCCTCTCGAATGGCAGCACGTTCCCCGCGGCGTTTCCGGCTTTTCCTGGACCAAGTGGCTGCGCTCTATAGCACAAAACGTGGAGGTGCTTGTAGTGAGGAATGGGATACCAATCGAGGAGGTCGATCTAGTGTGGAGGAGCCTTCACAGCCTTGGGATTGTCGTGTATGTGGAGGGGCCGCACAACAAGGAGTGGGAGGCGACTGTTGAGAACTACAGGGCGTTCATGGAGGACGGGGATTATGAGGATGAACTGGATGAGTGTGGCTTTGGTTATAATGATGATTTTGATGATGAGGAGGCTCGTATCAATCTTCCCTCCATCCGTGCTCCGAATCTGCGATTCCTCTTCTTAAGGTGTGTGACGCGCCCACACTGGCTGCACTGCAGCAGGACTACCCCACCCTGGCGCTCTACTGTGTGGTGGACCACTCCTTCTACTGGCACAGGAAGGGCCAGCCTGTGAGCAATGGGCCGATCGAACATGTGCGGCAGGCAAAGAGTGGGGTGCTACGGCATAGGTTCGATGCGAAGAAGCCGAAGGATGTGAGGGAGAAGATGTACAGTGTGAACAGGAAGCTGCTGGAGGGGTACAGTGTTGAGAATGATGAGGCGCGTATGTTCAAGTACAAAGGGCGGTTCTAGGGGATGCATAACAGGGTAGTCAAGTCAGTGTTGGAATGCCACCGTGCATTGACCACTCGGCTAGAGTTTTGTTAGCCGTGAGTGTTGACGTGACTCGAGCTACCGGTACAGTAGTATATTTAGTTCGCACATGCCTCTGGATTTGTCAATAAAAAGGCTCTAGCATTGTGGAATTGCTGATGATTATAGTTAGCTGTGAATGTGTATTTCACTCTCTTATTTTTCAAGGAGGCTATGGTGGTGCAGATGTAAAACATCGCCAAGCATAGCCAATAGCGGGGATGCAATCCCCACACTTCGCACATCTCTGCCCCCTTCACTACTGAACTGAAGCCATTCCTGCACCCGAGCGCATAATGCGGTAGTCGCGTCGTCAAGGAACAGTAGTAATTTCACCCGAATTTGAGGAGATTTCTTGTCGTGCGGACGGCTCTCATCATGCTCGCCTCCGTCGTTCCAAGCGCGCCAACGTCGTTGTGCGCTCTCCCCTCGTCGTCAATCTCACCGTCAACGTCAACGTCAACGTCGGCTTCAGCTTCATTGACAACGCGCACAGCTAGCAAACGCAGACAGGGAGGGCCAACCAGGCTCCTTTCTCCGTCTTCGTCCGGTTCGGCGTTATCGTTATCGTTACCGTCACCATCTCCCAGAACCCTTGTCCATTACACCCAGCAATCCGCGCTTCGAACCCCCTGCACCCCTCACCACCTCTCCGAAAACTCTTGTTTTTCCACCAGCCGCATTGTTAGAGTCTCCGCCTTTCCCGCCTCCATCCCCGCATCGCTCATGTCTCGAAAAATCACCGCCACCGCTTTGAGATCCCCACCTGGTGCCTCCGCCGCGTCTGGCGCCGCATCTGGCGCCGCACCCGGCGGCGCAGTTGCCGCGCGATCCTCAGCGGGCAGCGCGGCAGCCAATCCAGGCCTGCGGAGCGGCAGAGGTGGCAGGGGGAGGGCTGTGGCGGCTCGCGCGAGTGGCGGCGGTGGGGCGGGTGGGGGAGAATCTGAGGCAGTGGGGGGAGCGGGGGGAGGCATGGTGCTGGCCGCCGTGCTGGTGGCGTGCATTGGCGCATTCGCGTTCGGTTACCACATCAGGTGCGTTGCATGGTGATGGTTACCACATCAGGTTCTTCTCATGTGTGTGCGCCTCTCGCTGCTATCTCTGTGCACCGCACGCTCCGTTTGCCATCCCTTCACTCCCCCTGCCTGCCCCTCTCCGTTGCGCCATCTCCTGGTAAGCTTTACGCCTCCATCGCCTCACAGCAACACCAGCCTCACCAACCCGTCTCCCTTCCTCACCTCCCCCCTCCTTACTCGCCTCCCCATGTCTCATCATCCACCTTTCCCTCCTTCCCATTCCCTTGCAAGCCTAGCTGGCGAACCCCTCACAGCCCAGCCCAGCCCACTCGGTGAAGGTCTTCCCATGCGCCTACTCTTTACAACTTGCATCTATTTTTAAGGCGCCTCAAAAATAGACCCCTGCAAGGCTAGCTGCCGACTCCCTCACAGCCCACTCACTGCAGATCTTCCCATGCGCCCACTCCTTGACTTGCACCTCTCCTTTCCCGCGCCTCACACCAGTAGCAGAACCCCTCAGCCTGCACACCGTTACTCGCCTCCCTCCCCATGCCTCATCGTCCCTTGTGCCCCTACCCCCTCCCGTTTCGCCGCCAGCCAGGCTGGGTGGTGAGTGCGTCACTGCTCACTGCAAATCACCCCATGCGCCCGCACCTTATCACTTGCACCTTATCACTTGCACCTTATCACTTGCACCTTATCACTTGCACCTTATCACTTGCACCTTATCACTTGCACCTTATCACTTGCACCTTATCACTTGTACCTTTCCCATCCCTCGCCTCACAACAACAACGGGCCCCTTTAGCCCTCAAATTGTTACTCGCCTCTTCATGTTTCATCCTCCCCCGTGCCCCTCCCCCCTCCCATTCTGCCGCCAGGCTGGGTGGTGAGTGCATCGCTGCTCACAGCAGCGTGTGGGGCGCTCTCGGCCGGCTGGCTCGCGGACTCTGTGGGGCGGCGAACCACCTTCCTCCTGCTCTCGCTGCCCCTCGCACTCGGGAGTGCTCTCAGGTACATGCTTCTTTCGCTGGAAGGTGTTTCAGGGGATTTTTTATCGACTCAAGAAATTGTTTTATAACTCTCAAAAGAGATTCTGCTGTAGGGTGTTTCTGCCCGTAGGGTGCTTGCTTTGCTTGAGGTACACAGCAGCATGTGGCGCCCTCTCAGCTGGCTGGCTTGCATGAGCCGTCGGCCGGCGAGCCGCCTTCCTCCTGCTCTCTCTGCCGCTCGCTCTGGGGAGCGCTGCGCTGGTGAAGCGCCTGAGGGGGGGAGGAGGGTAGATGGCTCACAGGTGGAGCGCCTGGGGGGGGGAGGAGGGTAGATGGCTCACAGGTGGAGCGCCTGGGGGGGGGGAGGAGGGTAGATGACTCACAGGTGGAGCGCCTGGGGGGGGTTAGGGTAGATGGCTCACAGGTGGAGCGCCTGGAGGGGGGAGGAGGGTAGATGGCTCACAGTTGGAGCGCCTTGGGGGGGGGAGGAGGGTAGATGGCTCACAGGTGGAGCGCCTGGGGGGGGGAGGAGGGTAGATGGCTCACAGGTGGAGCGCCTTGGGGGGGGGATGGTAGATGGCTCACAGGTGGAGCGCCTGGGGGGGGGAAGGGTAGATGGCTCACAGGTGGAGCGCCTGCGGGGGGGAGGAGGGTAGATGGCTCACAGGTGGAGCGCCTGGAGGGGGGGAGGGTTGATGGCTCACAGGTGGAGCGCCTGGGGGGGGGGGAGGGTAGATGGCTCACAGGTGGAGCGCCTGGGGGGGGAAGGAGGGTAGATGGCTCACAGGTGGAGCGCCTGGGGGGGGGAGGAGGGTAGATGGCTCACAGGTGGAGCGCCTGGGGGGGGAGGAGGGTAGATGGCTCACAGGTGGAGCGCCTGGGGGGGGGAGGAGGGTAGATGGCTCACAGGTGGAGCGCCTGGGGGGGGGGAGGAGGGTAGATGACTCACAGGTGGAGCGCCTGGGGGGGGGAAGGGTAGATGGCTCACAGGTGGAGCGCCTGGGGGGGGAGGAGGGTAGATGGCTCACAGGTGGAGCGCCTGGGGGGGGGAGGAGGGTAGATGGCTCACAGGTGGAGCGCCCTAGTGCCCATCGCCCCATGGCACACGCCCCCTGTTTCCTCCTTGGCCCGCCCTGCTCCTTCCACTGCACCATCCGTTCCACCTGTGTCAACAATCTTTAGCGCGCTGCAGAAATGTCGTGTAATTATGTCCACTCCATTTCTCACGCCCCTTCCTTCTTACCCCCCCTCCCCCCCTCCCTCCCCCCTTCCCCCTGGCAGTGCCACAGCATCATCGGTGCCACAGATGCTGGTGGGGCGTGCGCTCACAGGGCTGGCCTTTGGCGTCATCTCCTGTGTTGTCCCCGTCTACATCTCCGAGGTGTGTGGCTGCCTCTCTGCCCGCCTCTCTCCCTGTCTACATCTTCGAGGTACATGCTTGAGTGTCTGTCCTTTGTCCATCTGTTCTCCGATCAGCCTGTCGAATGGCAACCATGCGTTACGTTGCTTCATAACCCTCTCATAACCCCTCTCCTCCCAGTTCCGCCTCTGCTGCCTCTCCTGCCATGCCTACCATACTCTCCTCCCAGTTCCGCCTCTGCTGGGCTTGCTGAACCAGCTGGCCATCTGTGTCGGCATCCTCGCTGCCCTGCAAGTCTGCCTGCCCCTGCTGCTCCTCTCACCCATCTCACCCCTCTCATCCTTTCCATTCCTCCCATGCCCACCATACCCCCCATGCATCAGATAGCGCCAGCATCGGTGCGGGGTCGCCTGGGCTCGCTGAACCAGCTGGCCATCTGTGTCGGCATCCTCGCTGCTCTGCTTGCCGGCCTGCCCCTCGCTGCCAATCCCGCCTGGTGGGTGCCTTGCACACTGCATGGGCATGCCGTTTCAGTCCACTCAATTCAAGATTCGCCCTCATACATGCATGCATGTAATGCAATGCAATGCTGCCTGCTGCCTGCTGCCTGCTGCCTGCTGCCTGCTGCCTGCTCCCTGCTCCCTGCTGCATCCTCACTGCACTGCTCGCCGGCCTGCCTCTCGCTGCCACTCCTGCCAGGTAGCCTGCTACTGCTGAGCACTGCACTCGCCTTGAGCGCTTGCGCCATCAAGTGCACGGCACTGGAACTTCCTTGTCCAAAAAAACCCGTGTGCACCCCGGGTTCAAAACAACCCGTGTGCACCCCGGGTTCAAAACAACCCGTGTGCACCCCGGGTTCAAAACAACCCGTGTGCACCCCGGGTTCAAAACAACCCGTGTGCACCCCGGGTTCAAAACAACCTCCCCCACAACCACCTTGTACCTCTGTGTCCCCCCTCTGGTTCCTTCTCACCCCCGCCTCTCCACCAATCAGGTGGCGGCAGATGTTCTGGATTGGAGTGGTGCCAGCGGCCGCCCTGGCTGCTGGCATGCTGTGGGCGCCTGAGAGCCCGAGGTGGCTTGCTAAGGTGCGATGAGTTGATGAGTTGGTGGGTTGAATATGTGCGTGTGCATGGTGTGCAATGGGTGCATGCATGCTGTGGGCGCCTGAGAGGTCCAGACAGCTAGCTAAGGTGGGATGAGTGGGCATGTCATGGTGTGGAGTGGGTGCATTGCATGGTGTGGGATGGGTGCATGCACGGCATGGTGCTGGGCCATACCATGTGTTTATGTTTGGCTCTTCGATATGCTGTGGGCTCCTGAGAGCCTTAAATGGCTGTCCAAAGGGGGATGGGGATGAGTTGATGGGCTGGGCTGACATGTGTGCAATGGCGTGGGTTCCCGAAAGCATAAGATGGTTTTCTAAGGTGCGGAGGTGGGTGCATGGTATGGCGTGGGGTGGATGTGCTGGTGGCATGGGGGGAAGCACTGCGTTTGAAGCGCCTCAAAAGTGGGGTGGATGTGCTGGTGGCATGGGGGGAAGCACTGCGTTTGATGCGCCTCAAAAGTGGGGTGGATGTGCTGGTGGCATGGGGGGAAGCACTGCGGCCATGAGATGGGCGTCTGAGAGCCCAGACGGTTGGCCATTGTGGCATGGTTGGCTAAGGTGGCATGGTTGCATGTGCGAGTCACATTGATGGCATGGTTGATGAGAGGCGAGAGGCGGAGAGGCGGAGAGGCGGAGAGGCAGGTGAAGCAAGCTCCAGTGGCCCTCTGCTGAGTCCCCTCTGCTGAGTTCCCTCTGCTGAGTTTCTTCATTCCTTCCTCTCCTTCCCTCTTTCCCGTCCCTACTCCCCTTTCCTCCACCCCTTCGGCACCTTACCCCTCCCCATCGCTCTTCCCCCTGCCGGTTTCCCCCACCAGGTGGGCAGGATTGACAAGGCAGAGAGCCAGCTCAAGCGCCTGCTGGGTCCGTCCCAGGCTGCTGCTGCTGCAGTAGAAACTCTCCTCCTCGTCCCCTTCTCCCTGCCTTAACCCCTCTCTCATCTCTCCCCTGCCTGTTCAACCCCTCAGGTGGGCAGGATTGACGAGGCAGAGAGGCAGCTGAAGCGCCTGTTGAGAAGCCCAAGCGCAAGGCCAACCCCGTGATTCAGCCATGGCGCCCGTGCAACCAAGTCTTGGCCCACCTAGGGATGAGCCTAGGGTGTTTGGGCTTGACAAGTTCAATGGCGACAACTTCGCTGAATGGTCCTTCAGAATAGAGAATGTATTTGACCACTATGACCTGCTGGAGGTGATGGAAGGAACGGAGAAGCGCCCCAAGAACGACCCGGAGAAGAGCCCGTAGGTGCGGAAGAGCGCACAAGGCTATCTCCTACTTGGGTAAGCGTTCGGGAGCAGCCAAATCCGTCACATCAAGCCATTCCAGCGTGAACCAGAGAAGGGACCAAAGGCATGGGCTGCTCTCAAGGGTGTACACGCTCCTGCAACAGCGGCAGTAGAGGTGGTGTTGGAACGGCAAATGGCGGCACTACGAATTGAAGAAGACGAAGCGGTTGAAGAAGGGGTGCAGAAATTATTCGACTTGTTGACGCGGCTTGAGGGAGCTGATTTGAACTACAGCGAGCTCCAAAAGAAGACCAAGTTGCTGGCCTTACTCCCAGAGTCATGGTCCTCGCTCATCATCAACCTCAATCGTGACTTGCCCCGCCTCTCGCTTGAAGACGTGAAGCGAGCGATCCTTCAAGAGGACTTCCGCCGCCGTGAGTTGGCGAGTGCGGATGGCGCCGGGGCAGCAAGCATCGGCCGAGGGTATGGCCGTGGAAGGGGCAGAGGACGAGGGGAGGCAGATTTGGCAGCAACAACTTCAATGGAGGCCGCGGGAGTGGCGGATACGGCAGCGACAACAAGAGCTACGGACGCGGTCGCGGCCGATTCGACGGCGAGTGCCACTATTGTCACAAGAGCGGACATATGTGGCGCGATTGCTTCAAGCTCCCTGATGGATGGACCCCTGCTCAAGGCCAAGAGGGTAGAGGAGCAGGAGGAGGGAGAGGAAGAGGCCGTGGAGGCCGTGGCGGTCGCGGAAGTGGTGCTGCAAATATGAAGAGTGCCGGCAACGAGAGCGAGTCAAGGGACGATCGCTTTCCCGATTAATCCTTCTTCGTGTCCACGCAAGCACCGGCTGGTCTAGAGAAAGATGAAGGCTTTGGAAGCCAGCAGCTGTGGGGAAGGTCACCCTACACTCCCTGGACTATTGGGTGATCGATAGCGGCGCTACCTATACCATGACACCTCGTGCGGACTTGCTCACCGAATTTGAGCCGTCACCGGTTAAGCATGTGACATCGGCTTTGGGGCAGCGAGCAGAGGTTAAAGGCATGGGCAAGGCAATGTTCAAGGGTGCTGATGGGAAGATGGTGGACCTCAAGAACATGCTTTGGGTGCCCAACCTTGCTGCGAACCTGATTTCCGTGTGGCGGTTGCAAAAGGCCGGCATGGACACGAGCTCGAAGGGAGCTAAGACCTACACCGCGAGGCTTGGCGAGCGGATTCTTTGGGACCTTCACGAGGATAGGGATGTCTACAACGAGATATGGCAAATCCCTGTGGTCCCCATGCCTAAGGAAAGGCAAGTAACAGCAAGCATCAGCACCAAGGGTGAAGCGGTTGGTAGCGGCGATGGCGCGAACGGTCGCGCTAAGGAGATGAAGTCCAAGAAGTGCAATCTTGGAGGGACCAGCAAGCTCGGTGAACATGAGGAGAGTGGTGCAACAGCTCAGAAGCAGCGCAAGGGTGAGGAGAACCCCAAGGCAGCAGCGGAGGAGGAGTACGGAGAGAACATGTGGGGCACTATTGCGAGTGCGGCATTCTCCAATCCGACTTCGGCTACGGGGGAGTGTGATTGGCTCACCTTGCATCGGCGAATGGGGCATGTGACCCTGCCCATCTTGCAGCAGCTAGTGAAGAATGAGATGGTTGCTGGCATACGTGTGAAGAGGGAGCCCGATGAGGTACTTGGCTGCCCGACGTGCATGCAAGCAAAGTTCACCCGTTACCCGTTCTCTAGTTCGGAGGCAACGGCTAAGGCACCACTTGATGAGGTGGTGATGGACGTGGTGGGCCCCTTGAAGCTTGGAGCTGCTGGAGCAGAGTACTTCATCACCATCGTGGACGTCTACACCCGCATGACCTGGGTGTATGTGCTGTCCAAGAAGAGTGACGTGGCTGAAACGGTGAAGACCGATTGGTTGCCGATGGTGGAGCGGCAACAAGACCGGCTAGTGAAAGCAATCCGCACCGATCGAGGGGGAGAGTTCTTGAGCAAGGAGTTTGGATTGTGGCTGAAGAAGAATGGCATAAGGCACTCCCTTACCATGCCATACTCCCCTGCAATGAACGGCATCGCCGAGCGAGCGAACCGGACAATCACGGAGACGGCGCGCGGGTTGCTCATTGAAGCCGGGCTACCCGACTATTTCTGGCCTGATGCGGTGCGGAGTGCGTGCGTGGCCAAGAACAGAGCTTTGACTCATGTGGGAGCAGACAAATGGGTGCCCTATGTGGAGTGGATTGGAAGGAAGCCAAAGGTGGATATGCTTCGGGTGTTCGGGTGCATGTGCATGGCGCTCGTGCCTAAGCATCTTCGGCACAACAAGCTCGGTGCCAAGGCGATATGGGCTGTGCACTTGGGCATGGCTCAAAACAGCAAGGGGTGGCTTCTTTGGGACCCATTCACCAAGAAATTCTTGGTGAGCAGGGACTGCAAATTCATGGAGAATCTGATGTACAAAGATTGGAAGGCGAGGAATGAGGCGAAGATAGGCGTGCGGTTGGGGGACGTGAAGAGTTCCGGTTTGGAGCATGTGGAGCTGCCCTTGGAGCTGAGCAGCGGCAGCACCACCACAAGGCAATCTTCCCTTGTGAATGGGGGAGAGGAGGCCAAGGATGAAGAGGAAGAAGAGGAGGAGGTTCAGCAAGTGAGCGAGCGTGCACCGACACTTCCTTCTCGCACTACGAGTGCTCCACGGATCCAAGTCACCCCGCAGCAACGCCAAGACCTTCATGTTCCTGCAGCTGAGGAGGAAAGAAAGGGGCAAGAGGAAAATCCAAGCCCCTAATAGGCTGACCTATGATGCATTGGGAAAACCAGCCAAGTCAGCTCTGGCCGGAGCGGCACTTATGGTTGGAGAAGACGAGGAGAGTGACTACGAGGAGTGTGCCTTCGTGTTCTTCTCTCCGGTGGAGATGCCGGGGGAACCAGCAACTCTCAAAGAGGCCTTGGAGAGTAGTGATGCTGAGGAGTGGAAAAAAGCAATGAAGAGTGAGCTGAAGAGCATTGAGGAGAACGGCACGTGGGAATTGGTGGAGCTACCGGAGGGGCGTAAGGCGATTACGTCCAAGTGGCTCTTCAAGATCAAGTCCGACGCCGGCGGCAAGATCGAGCGCTACAAGTCTAGGCTTGTGGCGAAGGGGTACCAGCAGAAGGAGAAGGTGGACTATAAGGAGTTGTTTGCTCCTGTGGTGAAGCCGACGACGCTGAGAACCCTACTCGCGGGAGCTGCCATCAAAGGATGGGTGGTGAAACAAATGGATGTCACAACGGCATTCCTCAACGGCGTCCTTGAGGAAGAGATTTTCATGGCGCAGCCAGAGGGGTTTGATGATGGTAGTGGATGAGTTCTGAGGCTGAAGAAGGCCCTTTATGGACTGAAGCAGGCCCCTAGGCAGTGGTACTTGAAGCTGCGAGGAGTTTTGGAGGAGATCGGCTTCACTCCCTCAACGACCGATCACCCATTGTTCATGCTTGGCGAGGGGGAGCAGAGGAGCTTCATGATGGTGTACGTGGATGACATCCTCATCTTTTCACCCTCATCTGACCTTGTGAAGGAGGTGATGATGAAGCTTCATGACAAGTTCAAGTGTAAGGCCCTTGGTGACGTCAACTTCTACCTCGGGCTTCACATTGAACGTGATGTGGAGAAGAGGTGCATGCGGGTGCATCAACGAAAGTACCTGGAGGCATTGGCTGTCAACTTTGGGCAGAGTGAAGGCCATGTGGCTACACCCTTTCCCTCTGGTTTCAAATGTGTGAAGGGACCAGAGGAGGAGAGCGTTGGTGAAGAGGAGAGGCGCCGTTTTCACTCGTTGGTGGGCAGCCTCATCTATGCGGCGGTAAACACGCGACCGGACGTCGCGTTTGCTACCGGACAGTTGGCTAGGGTTGTTCAATGCCCTAATGAGGAGCAGGTAGCAGCTGGAATGAGGGTGGCCAAGTATCTTGGCCAAACACCGACCGTTGGGCTGCAATACTCGGCGGCGGCGCAAAGGCGCCAAAAGGGCGCGGATGGTGTTGAACCCGGGCGTTTGTTCCTCACAGCATTCTCGGATGCTTCTTATGCTTCTGAACCAGAGGACATGACAAGTGTTGGAGGGTTCATTTGCTGTGTTGGTGGAGGCCCAACTGCTTGGGAGAGCAAGAAGCAGGTGGATCAAGCATTGAGCTCGGTGGAGTCCGAGTACATGGCACTCTTCCGTGCCGTACGGGAGATTGTGCAGCAGCGGCGTTTGTTGGCTGAATTGGGGGAGGAGCAGCAAGGACCTACCCCACTCTACTGTGATAGCCAAGGTGCCATTGCTCTTGCTAAGAACCCTGTGTTGCATGGCCTCACGAAGCACATGAGGGTGAAGTGGCATTGGACGAGGAGCATGGTGGCCGCGGGTGAAGTTGAGTTGCACTATGTGAAGACGACGGGGCAGCCAGCTGACATGATGACCAAGAGGCTGGTGGAGCAGCAGCATTGGAAGTGTTGCAAGCTGGCTGGGATGGCTCTGAACTGAGAGAGCAAGATCCTAAGGCCAACAATCCGAGGGGGAGTTTGTTGGTGCAACCCTACGGTTCGCATTCGGCTTGTTGTCCGTGTGCGTGCATGCGTGTATGCATGGAATGGTATGAGGGCATGAAATAATATATATTTCATGCTTACAATAGTGTGTGAATGATGAGGCATGATTTTGAATGTGTGTGTCGAGTCAATAGCGAGTTATCGCTAGTCGCGTGTCACGTCGTCGTTTGCGTATCGTGTGCGGTTTTCTGTTTTGTCGTGTGTGGAACGTTCGGCGTGTCGCAGGTGTGCGCAGCAGACTTCCAAGAACTCAAGGAAGAATTTACCTTGAAGAACCAGAGCCTTGGTTTCAAGAATCAAGTGATTTTGAAGCTCTCCAAAAGGGTAAACTTAAAGATAGTGAGAATAGTTGCATTACTTTGTGTAGTGTAACATTTCTCTTGGTGTAGGCCCTTGTGGAGGGTAGTTTCGAGACCCTTTGTGGTTGGGGACAGTGTGGCACTGTTCCACATCACTGTACCTCGGCTCTTGGGGTTTGTAGGAGCTGGGAGTCATTCCCAACTCGTAACTCTTCCTATTTTGTGTTCTAAGACTATAGTGGCTGCCATAGTGCCGTTCGTTCAAACCGACGTTGCGTCGTCAATACTTCCTGAAATCGAGTGATTTAAATTGCCTATTGTAGGCGACATCAAGACGCTCCATATCCATTTTATAGCAAGTCATTTGAAGCTGTGAGCAGAACGCTATCAACACTTGAAGCCGCTGAGCAGAAATCCGACTGTGCACTCTATCTTTCGTTTTAGGCACATTCAAGCCTATTGTGACTATAACACTGGCGCGGGAGGCACTGGAGCTGGAGGAGCTGGAGCTGTTGACCCTGGCTGCGCTTTGCGGCCGCGACCGTAGTTCGTGTTAGAATCCTAGCGTGACTTAGGAGCCATGGCTAGTGAGTGTCGAGAGAGTTGAGTGTCGAGAGAGTTGGAAAGGAGAATGTCGAGAGGAATGATGGTTTCACTATAGCACACAAGGTACATATAGCAAAATGAACAAAGGTGCACCATCAAACAATAGGAGCTACACTACAGTAAATCCTACAGGCAGTTATATAACATAACATATAATTATATTTTCTGACACACCCCCATAACTGCCTGGAGGAGAAAACCTGTGTAAAACATACCTTGAAGGGGTACACCCGGTGCAATGGAAGACGGCAGAGAGGTAAGTGAGGAGGAGGATGCGAGAGAGAGAGAGAGAGAGAGAGAGAGAGAGAGAGAGAGAGAGAGAGAGAGAGAGAGAGAGAGAGAGGGGAGATGAGATAAGAACAAAGGAGGAGGTGAGTGAGAGAGATGAGGAGAGGAGGTGGGGGAGCGTGCATGAGCATGACAGCTCACTGCCGGCCATCCCTCTTACTAACCCCCTTTACAAAGGGGGAGGTGAGTGAGGGATGAGGAGAGGAGGTGGGGGAGCGTGCATGAGCGTGACAGCTCACTGCCGGCCAGCCCTCTTAACAACCCCCAAGTCCTCACTCTCAATTCAACCACCCCCTTAATCTCACCCCCCTTATCAGTTGCCCCCTTGTATCTCACCCCCCTTCCCCCCTTCCTTCCTCCAGCCCCTGCCCCACCCACAATAGTCCCTGCACTGATCTTCACACGGCGGCCTGCCCCCTCTCCCCCACCCCCCATCCCCGCCACCTCCCCCCCACAGCAGCAGCCGCGGGAGGGGAGAGGCAGGGCAGAGGGTGGGGCTGTAGTGGTTCACGGCGGCCACCCCTTCCACGCCTCCCCCCCCAAGGATGGAGGAGAAAGGGGGGGCGGGGGAGGCTGGTGCTGCAGATCCCCTCCTGCCTCCTCCTGAACTTCCAAGCTCCCCCCCCTCTCCCAACACAAGGTGCGGCAAGGAGAGAGAGAGGAGAAGGCGCGGCGGCAACTGCTGCTGCTGGGGCACATCCGCCACCCCCTCACACCCTCTCCCCCCCGTCCCCATGAAGGGTGGGGAGGGGGGGGAGGGGGGCGGGGGCGGAGCTGCGCGTGCGACTGCAGGGCACGCGGGCAGGGAGAACCCCCTCTTGCCACCCCCTTACCCTTCAGGATGCTACAGGGCACCGGGGCCGCGGCTAGGGGCGACGGGTTGCGAGGGGCCGAGGCTAGAGGCGACGGGGCCGCGGTTAGGGGCTGCAGGTCGCGAGGGGCCATAGTTAGGGGCGACGAGGCCAGTGGGGCCGAGGGGCGCGGCTAGGTATGGGGCCGGGCGCTGGGCTAGGGAAGGGGCCGGGAGCTGGGCAGGTACGGGGCCGGGCGTTGGGCGGGTACGGGGCCGGGTGCTGGGCAGGTACGGGGCCGGGCGCTGGGCGGGTACGGGGCCGGGCGCTGGGCAGGTACGGGTCCGGGCGCTGGGCAGGTACGGGGCCGGGCGCTGGGCAGGTACAGGGCCGGGCGCTGGGCAGGCACGGGGCCGGGCGCTGGGCAGGTACGGGGCCGGGTGCTGGGCAGATACGGGGCCGGGCGCTGGGCAGGTACGGGGCCGGGCGCTGGGCAGGTATGGGGCCGGGCGCTGGGCAGGTACGGGGCCGGGCGCTGGGAAGGTACGGGGGCGGGTGCTGGGCAGATACGGGGCCGGGCGCTGGGCAGGTACGGGGCCGGGCGCTGGGCAGGTACGGGGCCGGGCGCTGGGCAGGTACGGGGCCGGGCGCTGGGCAGGTACGGGGCCGGGCGCTGGGCAGGGACGGGGCCCGGCGCTGGGCAGGTAAGGGGCCGGGCGCTGGGCAGGTACGGGGCCGGGCGCTGGGCTAGGGACGAGGCCGGGCGACGGGCTAGGTACGGGCCGGTCGCGGGCTAAGTACGGGCCGAGCGCGGGCTAGGTACGGGCCGGGCGCTGGCTAGGTACGGGGCCAGGCGCGGGCGAGAGACGGGGCCGGGCGCGAGGCTAGGAACGGGCCGATCCCGAGCAAGGTACGGGCCGGGCGCGACTAGGGGCGACGGGGCCAACGGGGCCGAGAGGCACAGCTAGGGGCGACGGGGCCAAAGGGGCCGAGCCTAGAGGCTAGGGGCGACGCCAAGGGGCGACGGGCCGAGGCCTAGGCAAGCAGGGCATTAGGTGGTGGGCCCATTGATGTTAGGTCCTAGGAATTATTGCTCTTAATACCATGTTAGAATCCTAGCGTGACTTAGGAGCCATGGCTAGTGAGTGTCGAGAGAGTTGGAAAGGAGAATGTCGAGAGGAATGATGGTTTCACTATAGCACACAAGGTACATATAGCAAAATGAACAAAGGTGCACCACCAAACAATAGGAGCTACACTACAGTAAATCCTACAGGCAGTTATATAATAGAACATATAATTATATTTTCTGACACTTCGTTCCCCTGCTTCAGCAGGTTCTTGGTGTCCTGTCTTCTACTAGCCTTACTCCCCTCCAGTGTCCACCGCCTGACCAGTCGCAGCTGCCGTTACAGCCGGCCTCTCCACTGCCTGCTCCTTCTCCTTACACTGAGCAGTCCAGTGGTCTTACAGAGCGTCGTGAGCCTGCGTCTTGTCCTGTCTTGCCTGTTCGCACAACTCGTCGCGTTCCTCGTTCATGTCCTCCTCCTGTCCCCGGCACACACGCTTTGGCACTTCGTCCTTCCTCTCTTCCACTGCGTGTTCCTCTGTGTGCTCCTCCTGGGTCCTCTCTTCCTGAGGTCCCTGACCCTGCGTCTGACCGCGCTCGTGCTGCCAATCCCACTGTCTCTCGTCTCCTCGCTACTGCTGTCACTGACCCTTCCTTTGAGTCTGCTGCTGCGTCTGCTCTCGTTGCTGAGCTGCTTGACTTTGCTGCTGCCTCTCGTCTAGACTACGCCACTGCTCTTGTTGCTGAGTCTACGTCTGCCAGTCCTCCGTCCGTCGGGGGTGAGTGTGCTCTTGGCACGGACGTCCTTGAGGACAGGCAGGAGGACTTTGAGTGTCTTGCAGCTGCTTTACCTCGTTTCGCTTCCATGCTGCTTGCCCCTGAGGGAGACCCGGATGCACCAGACATCCCGACCCCGCGCTTTTACGCAGAGGTGATTACGGGTCCCTACTCCTCTCAGTGGCAGGCAGCCATGGATGCCGAGATGGCATCCTGGAAGTCCACAGGCACCTACGTCGACGCGGTTCCCCCGTCTCGAGCGAACATAGTCGATACCATGTGGATTTTCAGGGTGAAGCGGCCGACGGGTTCTCCGCCTGCCTTCAAGGCGCGTTACATTGTTCGAGGCTTCAGTCAGCGACAGGGGGTTGACTACTTCCAGACCTTCTCCCCCAACCCGAAGATGACTACTCTTCGGGTGTTGCTGCACGTCGCTGCTCAGCGTGACTACGAGTTGCACTCTCTGGACTTCAGCATAGCTTTCTTGCATGGCAGCCTGCACGAGGAGATCTGGCTGCGCCGACCACCTAGTTTCACTGGGACGTTTCCTGCAGGTACCCACTAGAGCTTCCGCCGGCCAGTCTACGGTCTCCGCCAGGCGCCTCGCGAGTGGCACGACACACTGAGGACTACACTTGCGGCTCTTGGGTTTGCTCCTTCTACTGCGGACCCGTCGCTGTTTCTACGCGCCAACACCTCGCTGCCTCCATTCTACGTCCTCGTGTACGTCGACGAACTCGTCTTTGCCACTGCTGACACTGAGGCACTGACTCTTGTGAAGTCGGAGCTGCAAAAGAGACACACCTGCATTGACCTGGGTGAACTGCGCAGCTATCTTGGCTTGCAGATCACCCGGGACAAAGCACGGCGCACCATCACCCTGACTCAGTCACACATGGTGCACCAGGTCCTTCAGCGCTTCTGCTTCCAGTTCTCCTCGCCACAGCCCACTCCTCTATCTACCAGCCACTCGCTCTCAGCTCCACCTTCGGACGAGTCCGTAGAGCCGAGTGGTCCGTACCCAGAGCTTGTGGGTTGCCTCATGTACCTGATGACGTGCACACGACCTGACCTTGCGTACCGTCTCAGCCTCCTGGCTTGCTACGTGGCTCCCGGTAGGCACCGAAAGGTTCACTGGGATGCTGCAAAGAGGGTACTGCGTTACTTGTGCAGTACATCGGGCATGGGGCTCGTGCTTGGAGGACGGGGTCCAGTTGTCCTCATCGGTCACGCAGACGCTTCCTGGGTTGACGACTCAGCTACGCAGCGGTCGTCATAGGGTTACACCTTCAGCCTTGGCTCTGACTCTGTTTCCTGGCGGTCTACGCGCTCGTCTTCTGTTTTCAGCTCCAGTTGTGAGGCTGAGATCTATGCCGGGGCCATGGCTGCACAGGAGCTACGCTGGCTCACCTACCTGCTGACTGACTTGGGAGAGCAGCCTCGTTCACCTCCAGTTCTGTACGTAGACAACAAGGCCATGATTGCCTTGTGTCAAGAGCACAGACTGGAGCACAGAACGAAGCACATCGCTCTGCGATACTTCCTTGCTCGAGAGTTGCAGCAGCGTGGCCAGCTTCGTCTTACGTACGTGGCCACTAGGGCCAACACTGCTGATATATTCACCAAGGCACTTCCACCTGGTGATCATCAGCGCTTCTCTACTGTGGTAGGCCTTGTGCCTACTCTTCCTCACTTGCTTACTGCGTGACTTTGCTTGTACTTTGATCTATATATATACCTGCATGCTTGCACTTGTTAGGGTATGATCACTGTATTGTTTGTTCTCTTTTATATAACTCTGCATGTGAACTGGCCTTGTGGCCCTTTGCTTGTGCTCGGACTGTGTGGTGACTTTGTGATCCACCCTGAGCTTGCTTTGCTTTTCTTGACTGGTCTTGTGACCACTTGTTCTCCCCCACTTTGCCAATGGGGGTGTGTCAGAATGTTATAGTACTTACAATTGTGTAGGCTATACTGGGGTAGCCCATAAGGGGTACAACCCAATTAGGGTTAGTACTTGTACCCAACTCTTTGCTAGTTCATCCATTCTCATTCTTGATTCTTACAGTCTTGTGACCGTTTGATGTGTTGGCTATCCCTCACTTTGCCTAGGGGGGTGTGTCAAAACATATTTGTATGTTCTTAGCTCTGCTAGGCTACAGTGAGGTGCTCCGTATAGAGTACAACCCCAGTTAGGGTTTACTACTTGTATCTCAGTCTTGCTAATCATTCATCATTTCTGCACAGTTGATTCTGACAAGGAGTAGTGCCTAGCCATAACGTCGTAAAGAGTCTGGGCTGACGTCACCTGACAAAAGTGGGCCCGCTGGTACCGGTAGGTGAGCTGAGCTCGGACGTCAAGCTGTGCGACAGCGTCGCGCCCCGACCACTGTGTGCAGGCAACGCTGTCCGCCCGGTACTGCCGATGCACGTCCTCGCCAACGTCAGCAGCATGCGCAGTGGGAGTCGTGGGAGCCGGAAGGGACCCCGACGTGTGCTCGAGCAGGGAGATGCCATCTCTAACTAGACGCCGGAGATACTCGTGTAGGCACGCAAGCCACAACTCTAGCATGAATGGGCGTCCGTCTGCGTCAACTGCTAAGACATTAATATGGGCCATGACAGGCAATGGCAGTTGGTAGGAGTGGTGGCGCCAGCAGGACTAAGGCGTGCTAAGGGCGCTCAATGGACTACGGAAGGGGCGCACTCTAGGGGCACTCAACTACTGACGCACGAGGGGCACGATTATGGTAGTTCACCTTGTCCACGAGGGGCACTCAACCAGGCCCTCAGATATCAGGATTTTTACCCTGATTTGACTGATTTTCAGCCTTTTTTCCTGTACCAACCCTGAACTTTCAGCCTTTTTTATTTTGTAACCCTGAAATTTCAGCATTTTTTTATGGAAGGGGACTGATTTTTCAGCCTTTTATCGAACGTGTACACTGAATGCAGATTCTGCGTCCTTCCTGTAAAACACCGGAGATCACTGGGACTCCAACATCTTCGCATCACTGGACTAGAAATAACGAAAAACTGCGTTCAACAGCATAAACTGTTCCAGTTTTACCGTAATCACTACCGAAAGGGAAGGCGCCGGTTCGATTCCCTGTATTATTATAACAAGTCAGGCCTGCACTCACTTGAAACTGGGATTCGAATAGAAAGAAATCAGGCTTTCGTTTTTAGGAACCCTGAAATTTCAGGCTTTTTTTTTTAGGAACACTGACAATCAACCTTTTTTTTCACAGGGATATCCTGATGCATCAGGGTCCCTGAGTGAATCTTGTTGGGCTGAAAAGCCCCTTAGGATCTTTGCAAGGGTGAACTCTGGGTAGAGTTGGTGTAGTAGCGGAAGCGTTTAATTAAAGAGTTGTGAACCACCTTGCACTAGTATGTGAGGGCAAAGTAAGTTGATAATAATAAAAGAGATACAAGCTTTTATAAGAATACAAAGGAATATGAAGAGATACAGTTAACTGTTTTACTGTTGCTGTTGCGGTTCGATACAGTGTCGACTCGGGCAACTGCTCAGTATCGAGACAGTTGGTTGTCCTTGCTGTCGCGCTGCATTTGTAAGGTCAAAGGTCGCTGACCTTTGACTTTCGCGTAACCTCCAACAGTTATTCAACCTCCGAGGGTTGACTCACCGATATTTCGATACGAGCTACTTCGCTTCTGTCTTGGTGTTTCGACACGACAGAGGCGCCTAAATCAGTTGTTTCTAACACTCCCCTTCGCTTCTGGAGTGTCGCTGACGTGGCTCTGTCCAGTCAGCAACATGCAGTATTCGAACTTCTGCTTTCCGGGCTTTTTGGTCAGGTAGTCAGCTGCCATCTCAGACATGGGGCAGTATGACAGCTCGAGCCTTCCCTTCTCGATCTCATCCTTCACGAAGAAATATC